TTGATAGCAATATTTTGGGTGCCTTGTATGTAATTGCCTCAAATGAAAAAAAATATAGGAATGGGTTGTATCTTTACTTTTGTTGTTTGAGTGAGAATTTGAAAAATGGTTGAAAGAGGGTGTAAAATGGTTGCAAGAGTGTGGTTTACTTGTTGATAGCAATGTTTCGGGTGCCCTATATGTGATTGCTTCAAATGAAAACTATGGTATGGGATTTTATCATTACCTTTGATGTTTGAGTGAGAATTTGAAAAATGAATGAAAGAGTGCGTTTGATTTGTAGATAGCAATGTTTTGGGTAAATTACATGTAGAGCACCTGCCCTGTATGTAACTGCTTCAAATGAAAAATATGAGATGAGGTTTTATCTTTACTTTTGATGTTTGAGTGAGAATTTGAAAAATGGCTAAAAGGGTGCTTGATTTGTTGATAGCAATATTTCAGTGCCCTATATGTAATTAATTGCTTCAAATGAAAAATATGATATGGGCTTTTTATCATTACTTCGATGTTTGAGTGAGAATTTGAAAAATGGATGAAAGAGCGTGCTCGATTTGTAAATAGCAATGTTTTGGGTAAATTACATACAAAGCACCCAAAAACAATGCATTTATGCTTGTCATATTCAAACAATTGTAAATTCGTTAAAAATGAAAATTATGTGATGCGGTTTTATCTTTATCTTTGATGTTTGAGTGACAACGATTGAGAAATAGACTAACAACCTGTTTCAACAAGGACTGTCAAAATATTATTAAAAAGTTCAAGGAATGTACATGCATGAAGTACAATAGGATGCAATTAAAAAGCAATTTCTCGATTCTTCTCTTTTGATTACGTAAGGTTCTTTGAAAGGCGCGATGCGTTTCACTGAGACAAGTTCAAGGCGCTAGTTCCTCTTCGAAAAGAACCCTTCAAAGCCGCTTGAACCTTTCACTTAAAAAGGATTGAAAAATCTGGAAAGAAGCGAGGATCCACTGGTTTAGGTTAGGATCCGATGAGTGAACAATTGATGCTTCGGAGGAATGGTAGACAGAAAAATTGGAGGTGAGTATTTATGAAACATCCACTGCTTTTATCAAGTTTTCAATTTGTTCAGATGCATCAACATATCCTATGACTTTACAGGTGGTGCCAGCTGCGAAAAAGCTTAAATGGTATCAATCTTAAACTGTAGGAGAATTTAGACCGTATGTTTGGTGGTGTCATGGCAAAGAGCAATAATGCATGCACCCCTAGTGAAGTAGGGTTTGGTGGCATCACTGAAAATTTGGATGTTGAACCAACAAGTGATTCCAAATAAGACCATAGTCCGAATCTCAATGATGTTGAATCCACCAGCCAATCAAAGAGTCTTAGGGTTGAGAAAAAGAAAAAAGTGTGTGCAGCTTTCATTGGAAGCCAGATTTCACAATTGGAGGCTTCATGTACCAATGGATCTTACCTATCACAAGCAACATCTATTCAGTAGATTATTCGAATTTTGGAGGCAACTCCAGAAATTTATGAGGATATGTCATTGTATTTGTTCCCTATGAAGTTACTTGAAGACCCGACTCGGAGAGAGTTTTTCATTACGATAACCTCTGACCGTAGGGTACATTATTTATGTTATTTTCATGGGAACAACAACACTTTAGGGACATTTGAATTTCATTTTAGTATAATTAGATATTTTATATTTTCTTTTTGATGACATGCTGTCCATGCTGCTTTGGATTTTTAATTTTCATTGAGACACTGTTAATGCTTACTTGAATTTTTATTTTTCATCTTTATATTTTGTATTTGCTTCTCCAAATTCATTTGCACGTGGTGTTTGATTACATAGTTTAATGAGAGTAGCTAAATCAGTAATTATGTGTTAGCTACTTGGATGCAAATAGAGTACGATGCAAAAGGAGAATTGTAGTTGCAGTATGTTTGATGTATAAGTATTATAACTCATACATAGCTCACTCTCCTTGCAGTGGTGATGAGTGGGTTGGGAGTTGGCTGCAGACCACCCAACAAGATTCAGTAATTTGTTCTGTATTACACAATCTGTATTCATCGATCTTTTGGAAGAAGTACATAAGAAACATGTACTGCATGGCTCCTTCAGAATGACTTCATAAATTTCGTTAGCAATAACCCTCTACATATTATCACAAAATGAATCTATGAAAAAGGAGTCATGAAGCGATTCCAAGACTCATCTGAAACAATCTGTACGTCCTTTTCAGTTGGGTTAAATGCATTAGTCAATTTTTCATCACAAGTTATCAAATCAACTGACCTAACCTTCCAAAGGACTCCCATAGACATTTCACATGACGCGCGGTTTATGCCATATTTTCAGGTAATTTTACTTTTTTTATTGCATTTAGTTATTGAATATAGGAATTTAGTTAACCTTGTATAACTTCTTTGAACTGTATTGAAGCGATCAATGAAACATAAGTGGATGCACCTGTTCCAAATAATAAAAAAAATTCATTCATCGGGCAATGTGGTTCACCAACGTAGAATGTCATGGTTGTATGTGACTTCAAAATGTGTTTCACTTTTGTCATGATCGGTTGAGAGATCAGTGCACAGAATAGTTAGATTTTCAATTTTGCAACACGAACTAAGAAATATTATTTTTCTCATCCACCTCCAGGGTTGCTTGAGATCGAACTACTCATATATTGCTCTTACTACAATACTAATCATTGTATTAATGTCATGTAAATATTATTTGGTCGATGCTGAATATCCGTTACAATAAGGGCATTCGAAGACCTATCTTGATACGAAATATCACGCACTTAACTTTGAAAGAGCCAATAATATCTTTTGGGGCAAGAGAGAAATGTTCAACAAGAGAATCTTTCCGCAGTGTCATTTAAAGAACATTTAGAGTTTGGAAAAAAAAATGAGCCATATTGGGCGATTTGTCTACATATTTGTTTCCCAAACAAGTGCAGATTCTGCTCGTCATGATGACTCTCAATAATTATATTTGACAACATTCTTCCCACTCTGATGGTCGATGAGGCAACCGTGAGCAATAAATGTAATCTAAATATTACATTTTTTTGTTTGTTTTGGAGGTCTATGATGAGACACTCAACCTTAAGGGTATGACCTATATGTCACTATTAGTTTTTGTCACATGAAATCCCAATGAAGTTAACCAAGTTCCTCTCTTTTTTTCAGCGCTATGGTTTTTGAGGTTTTTCACAACTGTTTTTTTTTTGTGATATGCATGTGACTCACACGAGCCAGGTATTACGTGGGTTAAAGACAATCAAAAACCCTTTTTTTTACAATGTTTGTTGTCTTATTGTTGTGACAGATTCGTTGGTATATATACCACGTTCTATGAGACCTCACAACTGGATAAAACTTTAATTGATTACTTATATTATTGATTTTTAGTAATGTTACATCTAAGGGTATTTGTTTTGTGTTTTTGAGCCTTCAGGAAAAATGAGCTCGAGAATTTCCGATACCTCCAGAGCATTGTACTGCTACTGCAGATTACAATGTTCCTTGCTTACTTTACGACAGCCACATAGCTACTGGAGACAGTTTTACATGCGCTCAAGGAGAAGAACAGAAAATTGTGACTTCTTTATGCGGGCTGGTGGGTTGGAGGATTTCACCGCCGTGAGTGGTCGGGCGTGGAGAGTTTCCCTGGAGGACGGCTTATTTCGTAACATAGACCAGTTGTATTTTAAAAATAATATTATCATATTTTTAGCTGTTATTTTAGTGGTTCTTTTTTTAATTTTGATAGTCGTGCTAATTTAATGAGGTGTCTTTTTTTTATTTTGTAATGTTTAAATTGGATATTTGCTTTCAACTATATAATGTGTCAGTATGAATAGTTCTATTGAAAACAGTTTTACAGTATATGGACAGAATGATCATTTGTCCAGAAACAGATACAACACAGCTGTTTTAAAATTGCAAAAAACAAACAGACAATCAACTTATCCGCAGTAGCTTCCTGCTATAATTGTTGCATAACAACTTTTAAATAAGTCACAGCTGCTCCAAACAGACTCTAAAACTGAAAACTCTCAGTAATTTGTCATCCTAACTTGTAAACTGCTCGGTCAAAGAAAGAGAAAGCAAAGAAAAAAAAACACTTCGGTTGGAACTCAAACCTGATTGGTTTACATGGTATAATTTTTGTTTTTTATTTTTTATTTTCATTTTAATGGTTAGTAAATTTTTATATATTGTTTATTTTTATTTTTAAAAACAAGTCACCTTGTTTTAAGAACGCTTAAAACACCTCAAAGATTTTTCAAGCGTTTCTAAGAACTACTACTACCAAAAATGTTTTAATTCAAATTAAAATATAATATAAAAGTGATCCCAAATAGGGCATAGGTAGATTTTATTTTTTGCTCCTGCACACAATTGATTTTTTAAAGAAACGGATGAGAAACGATCCGGCTTTGGTGGCTTGTCTAATTAAGGAGCATGTACATACATACGTCACAATTCTTTTGCATTTACATATAACACCTAAATTTTCATATTAACATACATAGCACTTAGATCATTAATATCACCTTAAAAATATAATTATTACTTCTTTTTAAAAGTGAAGTATACACTTTCATGCATCAGTTTGTGACACTAAAGTAATTATACATGTGATTATGATAGTTTATATACATAAATGCATAAGAATGGTGTGGTATGTATGTAAATTCCCCAATAATTAGTGACCTTTCACCAAATAATCTTTTAGGTTTAGCATGTCTTCTTTTAGTTGCTTGATGCGCCATCTTGCTTCAGAGCTTGAAATTATCCGCTGAAGTCACATTTTTAAAATTGGTTTACATAAATTTGCTTTTATAATCTATTTTTCAATGTTTTATTCTTCTTTTTTGCAACACTTTTGCTGCCACTTGGGCATGATTTAAGTACTTAATTCTACTCACATTGGCTCAATTTAGTTCATCTTGTCAAAAGGTATATAAACCTATTCTAAAGATTTCTCTCCTCTGTTGCAGAAAAGCGCAGTTGCAGCGTTATGTACGCAATCTAACTGTATAGGAAGAAGGAAAACTGAAACAAGATATTGTTTTATATGTCTCGATTGTTTTTAGTTTATTATTTGTAATTTATATATCGAAAAGTTTGGTAAGATAATGAATAGTTTGGATCAGACTGCTGATGATGACAACAGATTTGGTGATATGATTGCCATAGCTTTGAAGCTATTGCCCTTATGGTTCCTGTAGCCTTATGACTTTGTACCGTTGTGATTCTTTTTCTTCATCCCTGTAGAAGTGATTTAGGGTCTGCAATTTTTAAAAAAGGAGATGGTAAATTTGTGGAGTAAATCACTTCTTAGAAAGCTGTGGGGAGAATTATAAATATATATATATATATATATTTTCAAAAAATTAGATGACAGCTTAGAGCTTTCTGGCTGTCACCGCACAAAAAATTCTTGTAAACAATTCCCTAAACAGAAATTTTGCCGTTTATGTAACTGTTGGTGGTGCTTCTACTGCATTGAAAGTATGTTGGGATGTTTGCTCAAGTCTGATAGGTATTTATGCGTGTTTTGTATGTTTATAATCATCAAAACAAGGTATTTAGAGGAGCTTTTTGCTGAATGAAATTCTAACTGATGTTTAAATTTTAAGTATTTCGTTGGGCTTTGATTTCTCTTAAGCGTGTTGAAAGGGAGTTTTCATTTTTGTGGAAGTTAGTTATATGTTGTTATAAGACTTGGATTCTTTACTAAATGTTGTATTTTTTGTTTCTTTTTATAATAATAATAATTATTATTATTTAAATTCATTACAATTGATTTTTTTAGGGAAATTTACATACTTAGCACACAATTCTTATGTATTTTCATCTAACAGTTACACTTTCATATTTACATACATGCTTTGGTATTTTAAAACCTATGCATGGAAATGTGTATCTCAAAACTCAGTTAGCAAGCTTCATTAATTCACTCCTATCCTTGATGCCAACTGAGCTCTTACATGACACCATCCCATTGGTGACACAACAAATTTGACCTTCCTTTTGGCCACCTAGCATTGTCTTCTTCACTTGACTCCACCTCAGCCTCTTGGCAACAATTATTGGTGCCAAAATGAAAGATTGGTGCCAAATTAAGCCTACAACAAGCCAATCAAAACCTATAAATATTCCCTCATTCATTTCAAGCTTGTTGATACCTCCCATACCAGAGCTAATTTTGTATCCCAACTCCTTCCCAAGAGCCCAAGCATTCTTCTTGCATCCTCCTAAGCTCTCCCATAGCCTCTACCTTATCCCATTTCCAAAATCGAAACCAGGACATGCCCCCTTCACAAACTAGCCACTAATTCTTCAATTCAATGCCTCTGCGAACTTCACAATACCACCTAATTAACTCATTCAATTCCTCGTTGTTTAGCCTCTCTAACCCATTCCTCGACCAGCCTGAGCCATCCTTCGATCAAAAATAAACGAGGAGCTTCAAATTGAACTCAAAGGATTTATGACAGGATCACAGGATCCAGTTGATCAGTCCATTGTAACCAAATCTAAGGATCAACTTTGCAAGTGAGGCATACATTGAAACTTAGCATTATGACTCTTGGTAGTGGTCTGTTATGAAAGAAACTCTTTTTTCACAACATTTTGACCATAGGATATGCCGTTTAGGATCTAGAGATCCTTTTGGCCTAGAAGGAACTCAGAATTAGCTTCGATAGTGTGTATTACACATTGTATTACACATTTTTGGTGAATGACTAGAGTCCACTATTTTGTTTGAGATGATGAATTTGATGTCATCCACTAGCATATTTTTGTTTTCAATGTTCAAGGTTGCGCCAAGCAAGGGAAGGAACACTAGAGATCACAATCCTAATCATTTCCAATCATTGGCCATCGAATCATGAAGCACCACGTGTGGATGCGGACCCTGGAGTTGCTGACGTGGCATGCTGGCTGTATAAATGGATATTAAAATGTTTAAATAAATACAAAATTCAATTCCAAATTTAAAATTTATTGAAAATACAAATAAAATAAGAAATAAATAAAAGAAAAATAAGAAAAACTTAGTAAATAGAGGAAAATAATGTGGAATGAAATTTAAAATAAAAATAAATATATTTTTGTCAATTAAATTAAAACATTAAAAATAATTAAATTCATAAAAATTTAAAAAATAAACTAACAACTGAAAAATCGCAGCGAAGCGAGCTGCCACTTCACGCAAGTATTAATGCCAAGTAGCGATTTGCAAGAGTACCATGTATCGTTCCCACAGTGAAATGAGTTAAGAACAGTTCAGAATTGGTGAATCTCTAGTTTGCTAGCTATCTAACCTAGTTCATTGCGATTAGAAAAATAGAAAAAGAAAATCCTAAATCTTGCATAGCTAACAAAAAACAAAATCAACATGAAGCAGAAATTAATGTTCTTAGGTTTCTTCAAGATTTTTGAGGATTGTGTCTCTGTGGTTCAGGTGTAGTGTTTAACTACAATTTTCTAACAGTTTCACTTATGTGATTGTTATCAATTAGGAACGATGTTTCTTCTTAAGCCAATGCCTAGGTCAGAGAAGAAATGGAAACCCATAAAATTAAGTTTCGCTTGACCTCATGGCGTTTCCCAGTATTCTAATCCTTTTTCTTGGTTGCAAAACCCAAATTAAAATATGCCGATTCTAACAGGATTTCAAGGCAAACCTAGTCGTTCTACTATGTAACGTGCAAGTCGTAGATCACGATAGGTTTTAATATCATAACTGGCCAAGTTAGAAGTAAACAAAGACCAAAAGGTTAATCAACAACATTGACATTAAAAACACTGAAAATGTATCAAGAGAAATATGTGAAGAAAAATATAATAAGAAAACTATCCATGAATCATAGAGGAACGAAAAAAAAAATACCTACTCATATCAGGAGAAAAAAACCACATTAAAATCTATGGAAAACAAGCCTGCAAGCAATATCTTCATAAAATAAAAATAATTACTCACTGGTTTGTGAATTTTCCTTCTTGCAAAAAAGTAAGCAAACAACTCTCTTATACAACCTCTTAGAACAAACAAAGAAAACTAAACACACAAGAAAAAAAAAAACTCTATTTGCTCTCCCAAGCAGGAGAACAACAAAACTCTCTTAATGCCTCTCCAAAACCTAGGCTTCAGCCTTTGAATATTCTCCCAACAGCCCTTCAATTTGAGCCCTAACTTGCTTTTATAACCCTTGTCCAAATTTAGCCGAATCAAACTAAATTAAATATTTCCTTTCGCTGTAATATATGATGACGTGACCATGCTCGATGAGCGTTGTAGTCATGCCTAGGGGTCATTCGTAAACAAAACGCCTGTTCTCTAGCGTAACCACACCATATGCTTGACGTGGCCATGCCAAAAATGGGCATGGTTACACAGGCTGAAAAAAGTCCCAATTTGCGGTTTTCGGCTCCGGTTTTTGTGCTAAGGCTGCTGCAGCCTGCAAAATACATAACCAACATTCTAAAAGCGTAAAAGTATTACATAAAAGAAATAATTTACATGAATTAAGACATAAACAAACGAAAAATTGACACATGTCATAAACAAAATTACTTGAAATTTTCACCATAAATGTTATTTGATATAAAGAACTCCCTGTAATTTTCTTAGAAACAGAAAATAATAATGAGGTTGAGAATTCGAATTTCTCATAAAAATTATAATAAAATGAATAAGTATGATAAAAATAATTAAGTAAAATAGAAAATAAATATTCATTTCATAAAAGTAAAAATAAAAAAAATGCATATTATGATTTACTAAAGTAATTAAATCAATAATTCATGTGATATAATTTACTTATAACATTATGGATATATTTGTAACTTAAAATTGATATATATTTCCTTACATTACAAAAAGTGCAATAAAACAACAAGTACATTAATGGATTTATGAAATTTTGAGTAAATGATTGCTTTAAACCAAATGAGTAAGAAAAACTTAATTTGAAAATGCAATTTGTAAGAAAACGTATATTTGTAATATGTGAAAATTATGTAAATATTTTTTTCTCAAGCCCATCATTTTCAGGCATATAAAGTCTTAGTTTTAAAAGAACTATGATTAAAATAAAAAAAAAATATTTTCTAATTTTAAGGAGTAAGGGGACATCGATATATTTACGCATAGCACGGTCAAACTATGGAGAATTTGATTAAAATAAGATGGGAACATACACAACACACAATTCTTGTGGTTTTAGCTGCTTGTAAATATAAAGTTTTGATGAAACAATGGATTTGACTATTAAAATATGATAATGAGTGCCATTTTTCATATGATGATTGTAAATATAAAAGTTTTGATGTGAGATTAGTAAATTCATAAGAATTGTGTGCTATAAAAATTTCCCAAATAAAAATATGAGTTGGGGTTAATCATAAATTTTTACATTTGAGTGAGAACTTAAAAAATTGATGAAAGAGGGCAATTAGTAAACTAGAAGTTTTGGATGGTTTGTATGTAATTGCCCACAATAAAAAAAAACAAAAAAAAACCATAGAGATGGGAGTTATTCGAACTTCAATAACATCGTAACCCCTGATGGGTCATAGTAAAAGTTTGTACTTTAAAGGTATAAATTTTATAGCCTATTATCACAATATTATTGCACTCATAATACATTCAAATTCTCCAAGTAATAGTACCAGTTTAGGGTCTGTTTGGGACAGCTGCAGCTTATCCATATACGCTGTTGATCAGCAGTTGATCTGGATAAGCTGCCTGACTGTTTGGTTTGTGCGTTTGGAAAACATCTGATTCTGAATAAATGACAATTCGACCTCTGTTTTGGATAAGCTGTTTAGTTGTTTGGTTTGTGTGTTTCGAAAACAACTGATTTACAAATTAATATTTCAAATAAGAGGAAATATCATTGGTAAAGGTTATAAATAAAGCTCATTTTCAGCTCATTTAAGAGGTTTTTTCTACAAATGAAAGATCTCAGAAGAAATGTTCAACAACAATTTACCTAGATCATCTTCTTGCTGCATACAACAATAGTAATCGTGTCACTCATCATCCTTTTTAGACGGGACAACAGTCGTCATTTGTCCACAACGCCCCCTAAAATCTAAAGAAAAGGGTACTAGAGACAAATTGTTCATCTTATCTAAGGAATTAAGCAACCTAAACAACACAAACTTGCTACATTTATAACTTTCATTAAATGATTGACCTTGGGGTCTTTGACATCAATTATGTTGGCTAAGAGCAATAATGTACTAATTTTTCTACCAAATAATATATTTTTCCAATTAGGGAAGGCCCATTTAGAACTTACAATTAGACGGTATCAATAGGTCCAATACCACGAATATCTAGTCCATGCTACCATTGCCAAGGCGATTCCACCCCGAATCGCTGGTCCTATAAGCTCAACTCTCCTTCCCTCCCCAACCTCCAACGGCCATTGCCGGCGCAAAGCTTGAAGTTTGGACGCCGCAAGGACAGAATACGCCGACAATTAGCATAGTGCCATTACACATGAAGATCTGATATGATTCATTCGAGTCAGACTCGCTTCCCTTTAAGTCTCCCGCTGACAGACAGAGGCGATTGCCTCGACTGGCCTCCGAAACCATAAGCCTCAGATGCTCTGCACTCTTCAGCAATGGCCCGGCGTCAACGAGGGCTGCTCATCAGGAGCATGATCTTCCTCTTCGTTCTCAACTCCCTATCCCTTGCTCTATACTTCTTCTTCCATTCCCCCTCTCCTCCCTCTCCCGAAACCCTAAGCCCATCACTAACCACTACCTCCCTTAAGTCTTGGCCTTCCCTGCCCTCCTTCCTCCCCTGGAATCCTAGCCCCAAGCCTCCTCTCCGCTCCTGCGAGGCCTACTTCGGAAACGGCTTCTCTCGCCGGATCGATGCATACGGTGGTGGCGACCGTGGCGGGTGGTTCCGGTGCTTCTATTGCGCGACGCTCAAGAGTTCCGTATGCGAAGGGGGACGCGTTCGGATGGATCCCAGCAAGATCAATATGTCCGGTGGAGGGGAAGGTTTGAAGTCGGTTATGGGGCGTAGTGAGGAGGAGGAACTGCCCAAATTTGAGAGCGGGTCATTTGAAATTGAGGGAGATGGAAGCGAGGGCAGCGGTGGTGGGAGGGTGGTGGATGAGGAGTTTCTCGATCGGTATGTGCCGCATGGGGCTGTGCATCATCATACAATGCGGGAATTGATGGAGTCGATGAGAATTGTTGGGCCTGGAGAATTTCAATGCTCACAGGTGACTTGCCTTTTTTTCTGGCATTACTATTATTAGGGTTATTGTTAGTTATTATTTGTTTTTTATCCTTTTTTTTCTGTTGGTGAGGGGGAGCTTTGAACATGAAAAATGAATATTTATTAGAAAAAAAGTTGACTTTAAATGCTGCATGAGACTAAAAAATTGATAAATATGTGTGATATTTCATTTTTTGGACAAGTATACTCGAAGTGCATTTAAGATCAAAGTTTCTTTAAAAATAAAGAAATCATTAAGCAAGAAGTTACTCGACTTACTTATTTCAACTTTTTCTTCATCTTTGAGATCCTTAGCAAGTAATGATTTTGTCAAATTTTTCGTCCTTTATCTTCGGCTAGTTATTTAGATTTAGTTTTATTATACATTTGATTAATTAGGTTAGAAATGTCATTCATGCTCTGAACATTAAATACAGAAGGAAATTAGATAGCAGATCTTTATCTTTGATTATTAATAAAAAATTTACTTTAATCTTGATTATACTATGCTTGGACCATGATTTAACATTTGAAGTTTTTTTGAATCTTTTTCAAATAAGATTTGAATAATGATTTAAAAAAGATTGAAAGTTGTTCGATTATGATTGAAATAACAATCAAATAAATGCTTGCAAGGTTGTCAAGATTTGAGCAAAATTTGAGCAAGATTAAATCTTAGTTAGAATATTATTCTAACATAGTAAGAATTTGATTGGTTATTATTTTGCAATTATTGTCTCCTTTAGAATTGATTTGTTTGAGTTATCTTGTTATATATACGAATGTCCAAGAGTATGATGAAGAATTTAGTTTGATAGTTTAAGGCTAGTGATATTATTAGATTGAGTGTTAGAGGCAAGAACACATGTTATTATGTAATTTTACATTAATCAAGTTTTGAATGTGCTACTGAATACTAATGCAAAAATGAGCCTTTTGATTAGGCAATTTTGTTATATCTTGAAAATAATTTTGATGGCTCATTTAATTTTCAACTTGATGGCCTAAACTATTATAATTTAAAATGCATATGTTATTTTCACTAGAATAGTTTGGATCCTGATGATTTTCATGTGTTCATTTTATGGAGTCCCAAATATGTCCATTAATCATAGATTTGGTTACTTTATAGTTATATAGATTTGATTAGATTAGAAAGAGTCTAAATTCACTAATATTTAGTATTGGAGGACTCACCTTAGATATAGGGGTGGTTCAGTTGTACTATGATAAATTTTGTGAGTGTATTTGGTTTTATCAAAAAATTTTATTTGCTGTGTTATAGCTATTACAATTATGCACATCTTATAACTAATCTGGCTTAATGTAATAATTGTCATTATAATTTTATAGATGTTTAATGGTTATGTAATATCTTTCATTGTAATATATTATAGTTATTGAATTATAGTCTGTTATGTCCATTTTAAATTTAACATTTAAATCAAACATTTTCTAAATCTTGCTCGAAAGATATTTGAACAACTTCGAAATCAATATTCAAACCTTATCTGAACCCTATTATAATCTATTAGAACATTGTTTCAATATTGTATGAATAAAATTTAAATAATCTAAATGAGATTCCAACATGATTCAAATGATTCAAACTTTGCATGAATATGAACGGACAATTAAAAAATATGGTAAGTTCAAACATATTCAAATAATTTTTTTTTTAATGGTTCAAATAGGGTTTAATTGTGGTTTGAAAATAAACAAAATTAGCTTGAATGAGGTTCGAATATGTATACAAATATATTTGAGTTTTGTTTGATTATTATTTTAAGAAGGTTTGAACATGGTTTAAGTAAATGTTCTTACAAGGTTTAGAATATAATCTTTGATGCTCTATCCAAATTTGCTTGAGAGCTCTATTAGAATGTCCTAATCAATAAGACAATAGAAATATTAACAATATAACTATGAATGTTGAAGTCGCTAATGAACAAAGAACTCCACTGTTGTCATCTTATCCCCCAAAATGATAAAAAATCAAATGACAACATGTTGACATATGGAATGGTGGGGCATCGTTCTTTCTATGGTGGCCATATAAGAGTATTAGTTCGGTTTGAAATGAATTTTCAGATATAATTCTCTAAGAAATGAAATAAAAGACCTATTTTTCTAATTTTTGTTATTATATAGCATGCAACTCTGATGCCTATGCAGTATTTTGAGAGCAATGTTGTTTTGTTAGTGATAAACATGCAACTCCCAATGACTGCTTTTTTTAAGAGATTCTAGTTTTCTGTGCTCAAGGTAGGGGGCTTTGATTTCAAGTGACGGAGTCATAATTTTCTCTGGCATTGGTTTCCCTTTTCTTTATGCTTCTTGTAATATTTAAGATCCTTGACGTTGAACTTTTTGTTTCTCTCTTTTCAAACTTTGAACGACAGCGCTCCTATGCTTCCACCTTTTTGTATAACTCCTATGCATCTACTCATACGCCTATTGCTGTGGATTAATCACCATCAGGAGTAATGACAAAGCAAGACAAAGTAAAACAATAGCCTATAAGGAAACACGCCATTAACAAAAAATAGAAGAAAATTTATATGATTTAGTGTGATTCACTTATATTCATGGTCGCATAGAGAGACTTATACTCGGAATAAACAGTGGAGAAAATATTTGTTCACTCATAAATTTTTTCTTGTCAGCCAATCATTACCTCTCTCTCTCACTTTCTCTCCCTTTTTCATCTTTTATCTTAAGTCCCTCTCCCTATTTATTTCAAGAGTGAGCTTATCTTCCCCTTTAAAGCGAAGTAAAACTCGAATAAAGAAGTCAAAGAATGACCATATAACTATATATATATATATATATATATCTATTTGTGTGTGTGCGCTTTTGTTATTTACTTTTTGGCTACATGCATTACTATAAGTTCTAATAGAAAGTTTATAGTTTTAATCTTGGGACTGCTAAATAACATTACATAGTGAAGTTCAATATTTAAGATTTCTTGATTGCTTTTTCAACATAACTTTCTTTGCACGTTTGATCTTTGTAATAATTATGGCATTCTACATGCTGCTAACATTGTTGATTGATCTTAATTGTAGTGGATAGATGAACCTACAATTCTGGTGACACGTTTTGAGTATGCAAACCTTTTCCACACTGTTACTGATTGGTATAGCGCATATGTCTCTTCCAGAGTTACAGGCTTGCCTAACAGGCCTCATCTGATATTTGTTGATGGCCATTGCAAGGTATGATACCTGATGCATACACACTTAAGAATGCATGCATTTGATGATATTTTCACTATCAATGAAAACTTCATTCTCGAAAAGAAACTCCTCTAGAGTTGAAAGTTTAAAATCATGTGTTCTTTGTGGTCATTTGGATAGATGTTTGTTGCACATGAATATTTAGGCCTTGGGATCAATTTATTGAATATATATATATATATATATATGAAAAGCCCAAGGGCTGATTTTATTGAAATTGAAAAGGATACATAAAGGTAGTATGAGAACAACCCAAAGGAGGCACCCTACCATACGGTACTAATACAAAAAAAAAAAAGATACAGATAGACTCAATAAAATGTAAAACATGCATAAAACAAGTAGCTAGGGACGAGTCAGTTTAGTCCTGCCTCTTCCTCTAGTTTTATGAGCGGATACAAATAACAAAATTTGAAGAGTCGTGCTATTGCCAGGAGTCACCAAAGTATCATCCATTAAGTTTCCAAGTTGGAGTGAGCCCCCAGCCTTCTTCTTTCGCCGAGAAGTTTAAATCTGTCATTCTTCATCGTAAGACTGGCTCATGTGATCCTCGATCTGATTTGATGTTTGCACCGAAGTAGGAGGAAAGACAGTCGTTGCCACCGTGATAGGTTCCAATGTATGTGAAGTGTGCATTGTACCTCTGCACCTGGTGCTACCTGAATAGGAGCTGCGGGATAATTCGAACATTATCTGTTGTAGTATGGTCAGGAGAAGGAATCTCAGGGGCAGACACCAACTTTTGTCTTGTGATAATTCCTTCCTCAGGTTGGCTATCATCAGGTTTGCTGGGAGTGCGTTCAGGCACATGGGGTGCACTAATAGTGTGTTCCTGCTTTTGCTTATTGGTTCTCAACTGTGGGTGCAATCTGAAATATTTCTCCTGTGGGTGCCCAAACATCTTGCAGTGCTTGCAGTAGTATGATTTTTGTTCCATAATGATTTTTTGTCAACAACCATTGTGAGCAGATCCAAGTCAGACTTCTTCTTCATCCGGTAGTGTAATATTTCGTTCAATCAAAATCCTTGCAATAGAGGCCTTGAGAAATGAACTGTAGGTAAGTCTACCTGCAAAGGTTTTACAAGGATAGTCTCAATTACATATAAGATAGGTAGGTCAAAGAAATGAAGCTTGAGTTCAAGTAATGAGAACCATATAGGTGCAATTGGGGGTTCTTGACTAGGATCAAAATTGGGGTTCATTTGAGCAATTTCATGTGCTTTCCCTCAATTGTGATGAAATTTTTTTGAGAAAATCCTCGTGTAATCATCTTTTGTGCTCAGCTGTATCATAGCATATCTTCCGTCGAAATGACTCACTTGCCAATCCCCATCCAGTTTGAAGTCTTCAAAAATTTTCCTGATGATCTCCATCTTAGGTCAACCTAATTGGAACTTTCCAACTAGCGTAAATTTGCATTTTCCTGCACGAGTTGAAATTTCAGTTTCAGAAAAGAAAATTACTGGTTTGCCCGCCTTTTTCTCTACTTTTTTATGAGATTGCAATCTCCATTTCCAACAACAGAATCATGGTAAATCTGCGGGAATACCGCACTATCTGCGAGTTGAAAAGGGGAGCTGCATTTGTGAACCACTGTAGTATAAGAGGGTTTGAAGGGGTTATCACCGGCGAGGGCGGTGGCGTGGAAAGCCTTGAGGTCATTACCGCAGTCAGTGCCAACCTGCAGCACTGTGAGAAGCTGCATGAGTGTCGAACGGCTCTGTAGCAGACTGGGCGGCTCTATCGCAGAGGAGATGCAGCAGCGGGCGGCTCTGTCGCAGAAGTAGACCGGGCGGCTCTGTCGCAGAGGAAATGCAACAGCGGGCGGCTCTGTCGCAGAAGCAGACCGGGTGGCTTTGTCGCAGAGGAGACACAACAGAAGGAAGGTGTCAAGCGGTCGAGTGGCTCACGAGACACAGCAGAAGGAGCGGCTCTGTCGTAGATGAGACGCAAGCACGACCGCAGAGCTACCGCCAGACGAGACGACGCAAAAGGGAGCAGACGACGCGAGCGCGAGACGAAGCGAATGACGCTAGGGTTCGCCATGGGGCGGAACCCTAGCAGAGCGCATAGAGCTTTCTGAACGCATAGAGCTTTCTTTTCTTATTGAATATATATATATATATATATA